GAAGATATCTTATATATGTTAAGTTATAATGTTAGCTTTAGCCTGCTCTGTCGACAGAATTCTATTCTTGACAATAAAGAAGTACATTATGGATTGATTGATTGATTGATATATATTAGAAGCAAATATAGGGCATTTCATTTAAAAAAGTTGAAAGTAAGCAAAATTTCAAATTTCTTACAATAAAATTTTGTTTTTGACGATGGATTCTGAAAATTTAGTTAAAACTGCACAATTTTTGTGTTCGCACCTATCTATCATCAACAATCTACCTGTAAAGCCAAACGCTGAGGTGGGGTGTCAAATTATAACCAAACACCCTGTACATACAAACAGACTAGGCTAGAGGTCCGTGATAAAATGACGTCATGAAATAAAATTCTGTTATATTCGGGCCCTGGTAAACCTGGGAAAATTGGTCGATTTAATATTGATTTTTAAAATTATTTTTTCTTATCTAGGGGGGGCCATGGCCCCCATGGCCCCTCCCTGGATCCGCGCCTGTAGCTATGACTATGGAGTCGAAGAGAGCGCGTCCCAATTCTATGGTTTTATTTAACCAAAATAAAGGCAAAATGCCGTGAATTAGCTATTTCAAGTAAGTAAAACAACAAATCTAAAGCTTAACATTAAGCTTGTATGAACATTTTCAAACACTACTTGAAAATATTTAAATGCGGTCCTGTCTACTTAACCTTGATTCTGAAACGATTCCAAACAATGAAATTGTATTGCGCATGTACAACGGCTACCCGGTTTGGCGCAGGTTTTTGGTCCTACAGTTTGCCATTTTTTGAATACGCTAGTGCTTACCCAGTCAGTGCCAGCACCTTGATTTACAGGTAATGAAATGTCTTGTCAACAGAGCTGGGAGTAACGATAAAAAATAGTTACTTTACTTTAACGAGTTACTGAAAGTAACGCGTTACTTGGTAACTTCGTTACTTTTCAGATTTATTGATAAGTAACTGTAACGACGTTACTTTCCTGAAGTAACTGCAGATCGTTATTTTGTTAAAGTAACGAGTTACTATGAAAATAACGCGTTTATATGGAAGTAACGCGTTACTAGTTACTATGAAAGTAACGCGTTCTCCCAATTTGTTTATCTTCTTTACAAATAATTGACGATTGAGGAAAAGGAAAATAAGTAATCCAAAAACTTTGTATGTCAAATAAAATGTGGGTAGTACCGAGGCGCTCGGGATATCTATCAGGCCAGCAGCCATCCCCACTTTTCTTACAATGCGTCACAAATTCAGGCCGAGTTTCAATGCGTAGAATACGGCATATACAGTGCATTGAAATAATATTTAATAATTTTGCGTTTCCTGTTAGGTAGATATTCAAAAATTCTTTAATAAAGTAGATAAGGGTAAAAAATAGTATATTATATACCTAGGTAGAGAAGTTGGTCATTATATATACCGAGCGCTTTTATAAACCGAGGCGCAAAGCGCCGAGGTTTATAATGCGTGAGGTATATAATGACTTTCTCTACCGAGGAATATATAGAATTTTTTTTACTACTGCTAGTAGAAAATAAAAAATTTGCTTAAAATCTGTGCTCTAATTATTTTTTTTTGAACGCCCTCTTGAAAGTGCTGCCCTCTATCAACAGCTTATGATAACTTCCTATGTACCTACAGAAACCTGTATTTTGTTTTAAATTGACGCATGAAATTGAAATTGGACCAATAGAAACATGACAATATCCTTGCGTCATGACGTCATTTTCATTATTGACCTAGGGACTTTTTCATTATTTTCATTATTCACCTAGGGAGAGAAATTCAATTTTTTCCTAGAAAAATAGATTGAATAATGACTATTTCTCAGGTAAGTAGTAAAAAATAGTATATTATATACCTAGGTAGAGAAGTTGGTCATTATATACCGAGCGCTTTTATAAACCGAGGCGCGGAGCGCCGAGGTTTATAATGTGTAAGGTATATAATGACTTTCTCTACCGAGGAATATATAGAATTTTTTTTACTACTAATAGTAGAAAATAAAAAAAAATATTCAAAATCTGTGCTCTTAATTATTTTTTTGAACGCCCTTTTGAAAGTGCTGCCCTCTAACAACAGCTTATGATAACTTCCTATATGTACCTACAGAAACCTGTATTTTTTTTGAATTGACGTATGAAATTGAAATTGGACCAATAGAAACATGACAATATCCTTGCATCATGACGTCATTTTCATTATTGACCTAGGTATTTTTTCATTATTTTCATTATTAACCTAGGGAGAGAAATTCAATTTTTTCCTAAAAAAATAGATTGAATAATGACTATTTCTCAGGTTAGTAGTAAAAAAACATATTTACTTGTTTAGGTTTAGGGTGAACACCAGTTCAAAAAATGTCGAATAAGTGTTGCCAAGTGTTGCTTACCAGGCTGCAATAGCAATAATAAAAGCACTGTTGAAAAAGTATCAATGTTTTCTTTTCCAAAGGACAAAATAGAGCCAAACTTTGATAACGGAAAATAAACCGAGACAACTACAAAGTGACGAAATAGTCATTTGTTTGTGAAAAACATTTTGAAATGCGATTCATAATAAAAGAATATAAAATAACCAGGCCAGATGAAACGATTTTATGTGCAGACAGGAAAATTCCTAAATTAATAAATTATGCCTTTCCATCTATTTTCGAAGGGCAACCTTCATATATGAGTCAGGATTTGCCTCCGTAAAGAAAGTCTCCAGAACAACGAAGAAAGAAGTTCAGAGACTTCGAAAAAAAATTGTAAAGAAAATTAAAAAACTTGAGGAGTTATATCTAAATGATGGAAGCAGTATTATATTTTATCTACAAGCGTTTGGTTATGACGTTTTTACATAACTATTATTCCAGTATTTGAGTTATGTCATGAGGCTCGTAACACAACTATATAGTTGTGTTATTGACTAGGTTATGAATTCATAACACAACTATTTTTGGTTATTTGACAAATAATGTCAAAGGTAAACCTGTAAAGGTAAAATGAAGGTATACACTGACTAATAAACGAAAATGATTGAAAAAAAAACCTTATTTTTTGCTTTGTAGATAAAAAGTTGTACATACATCTGCTGGGAGAAGTCACGTCTTTTTTACAGTTTGACTTGCTTATTCAATGATTGTCGTTAGCTAACGACTTTTTCGGTTCAGTTACTTTCGGTTGTCGTTATTGTAACTACAGAATGGACGCAAAAGCGTCGTTAGATTACGACAGCCCAATGGCTCTTATTACAAGCATAACGATCGTTACAGTTGTATACTGGTAGTGTTGTACTATATTTTACTGGCGATTTTGATCGATAATGGAACCTGAGTATGGAATCGCCAAAGGAATGTTTCCATCAAATGTTTAGACCGGACGTCGAACACCGATTGTATGGTTCTTTACCTGTTTGCTTTTCTTGTCACAAGGATGTTACCAGAAACCACTTGGTCGATTTGCAGCATCATCACAAAGCAATGTTAGCCGCTATATTCATGAGTTGGTAGATGCACTTGTGGACAATTTCACGAACGTGTATATTCAATTTCCTCGGAATCCTCAAGAATCAACCTTTGTAACAGATGTATTTTCTACAGAATATCGCATTCCAGGAATAGTTGGTTGTGTCGACGGTAGTCACATCTCACATCAAAATTGTTACACCAATAACGCAACAAGCAATAAGTGCAAAATGTGTCAAATTCTTGTCAAATTCGTAGAGTTTTTCTGTAACTTTACATGATTTTTGTAGTTGTACAAAAAAAAGTGTGTATACCATGACCGCGAAACTTTTTAGCGCCCTCGAGTTTGTCTTGCCTCGGCCGCAAGCGGCGATAACTTTTCTCTACGTACTCTAAAAAGGCACTTCGCGGCCTTGGTATACAGCTAATTTTTGATGTAAATTTTAAGATCCCTGCCATAAAGGTGCATTTATGGCCATCCAAGTAGTGTGGAACGAAATTGTATTCGTTAGGTCGATAACGACAATGAAAGCTAACGACTTTGTTACTGAATAGCTTTTATAAAATTGTCGTTACCGAGTCAGTCGTTACCGAGTCAGTCGTTACGACAAAGATATCGTTATGTAACGACAAATTCGGATGGTCCGTTGTCATTGGTTTGAGAAAAGTAATCATGTTTCTCTTCGAGCATTAAATAATACATTCATTCTTGCTCGATATCAAATTGATTAATGATATAAATTCAACACGTCCCGTGGATTCCAAACTGGACGTCTATTGTCAGATCACGAAACATCTTTCAAATTACAAAAGATTATTATGCTCGTTGAAGAATATACTATTTTTAGGTAATTAACAAGTTTCTTGTCGATACTGTAGGGGAAATTAAGTGAAGTCATTTTTCATCATTTTCGTTACTTTTGTTATTTCCCGATTTGATTGTCATTGTCATTGCTCAAAATATACTTTTTCCTACAGCCGTGCGGAAAAATCGATTTTCCGCACTGATATGCGTGCGGAAAATGAGTTTTCCCGCACGGTGCGGAAAACTTTTTTTTTTGACATATCAATGCGGAAAAAGTTTTTCCGCACGGCTGTCAGTGCGAAAAAAATTTTACCGCACTGATATGTCAAAAAAAAAAGAAAAATTTTACATTTTTTCGCCTGTAGGGAAAATATTGTACCTAACACTTGCGGAAAATATTTTTCCGCACTTGTTAGGTAAATAGCTATTTCGGCAAAAATTATAACATTTTTGAAATATTCACAAATTAGATTAATATGGATTAAAATAGAAAATAGGAATATTAAAAATAGTATTTGAGCGCATAATAGTAAATCTAGCAAAAATGTAGGCAGACAAAATAGATAAAATGTTTGATTAATTGACAAAACTGACACTTCTTCTGAACGCCACTTTCCCGCACTAGTGCGGGAATCGAATTTTCCCGCACTAGTGCGGGAAAACCGAAATCGCGCACTAGTGCGGGAAAGTGACATTTTCGGAACTAAGATGCGTGCGGGAAAGTAATAAAAAATGCACGCTCGTAGAAAAAATATTTATTTATTCAAGCGACTTCAAATAGATACTTTATATCCTAATCTATTCTTGAAAATTTTCTGACGGCAAAGCATTTTTCTGTTCTGCCAAATATAATATTTTGAAACGTTTTAAGTTAAATTTAAATCTAACACCATAATTTTTTTATTTAAGACTATTTCTAAGTATTCCAATATGAAAAATTAACATTTCAATAAAAATTATAGACTTAAATTAATTTAGTTCCACGTCTTTTTCCTCTGCAACGTCGTGACGATCGCCCATGTTTGGCAGTTTACTGGAAACGTGCTTTCCGAAGTCGTAAGTCTGTATTCGGGGCGCGATGAAACCTCCATAACCTCGATTACCCTTGTAGTAGATTCCTGCGCCCATTAGAGGCACTGCGGGTTTATTCACCACTTCCTGGATATCGATAAACGGTACGGTGCTCTGAGCGGCATCTTTGCCGAAAGCCGAATTGGTGAATTCGACATAAGAATCAATTCCGAGGTGATTTATCCACGATTGTTCTTTGGTGTTCGTTGGTATGTCGGGATTATCAATGTCTATTTTTTTTCTGAAAAAATAATTTGCATAAAGGTTAAGGATTGTTTTAACAGAGTCAAAGGGGTTTAAGATTAGTTTGAAATTAAATTGTTGCTTGAACGCTTGGATCTTTGAGCGTATTCCTATTTGCGGACAAGAGCTGCTCGGTTTGATCCAAGTATCTGTACAGGTTGTTCCAGTAAAACAAATTGCTCCTTTGAAACTGTTTTTGTTAGAAAGTGGCAAATGAGGTGACATTGTATTATCATAATGTAATTTTCTATTAAATTATTGAGGGGGTAAGTGGCAAATTGTTTTTTGAGACGTTATATTTCCTTCTGGATAACTGGAAAACATGGCCATAGGTGTGCAATGGCCACAACATCTCCATAAACACCCTTCCTCCAACTTTCTCGAATTTCCTTAATAATTTCCTATCCTTTCTCGGATTTTTCCTAATATGAGAAATTGAGTCTTTTTGTACCTTTTTTTCCCGAGAATAGGTTAACTGGATCATTGAGATAATTGACTTAGGAAGTTATTCAAGCTTACCCGGATGGATCAGTGTTCGGACTAATCAGTGATATAGTATAGATACAAGTTTGGTCGTGTATGACTTACCTTCCATTAGGATTCGATTCGTAAATATAATACCCATTGTTGTGACTAACTCTTCCTGTGTGCCAATCGAATGGGCTTACGTAAATTTCAAAATGTATTTTATTTTTTATAAATTCAAAGCGAACCCCTAAAATTTATACTATATTAGGATAACTTCTTACTCATTTATAAACCTGATTTTTTTCTTACCTGTTACAATATGGTTCTCCTCCTTAACTTGAATATCGTCCAAAGCCATTGATCTCTCTCCATATGACATCGTGAAAAAGTCTTCTTTGTTTCTCACACCAGCGTCGGTCAATTTATAATTATCGACATTCACCCAATGCACAGTGGATTCGTTGATGTATCCATAAGGTAAGAGTTTGCCTTCCTGGATTTGTAGATGCACTATTCTGTTGTTTTTAATTAGTCTAACCCCAGTAACTACGCTATAAAATAAACAAAATTCAGGCGTTTACTGAGTGAGTTCAATGAAATTCTAACCGATTATTCTTTATATCAGCCAAGACTGGTCTCAAATTGATGTATCTATCCGATAAAGGCCCTTGTTCGTCGCACAAGCACATGCAATAATGACATCTCACAAACCATCTCGTCCAGCTATTTACGGTTCTTCTGTTCGAACATGATTTTCCTTTACCATTACCAAACGTTTTGCCACTGTTGTACCGTATAAAATCGTAACGTCTATTACGATCAGGCTGGAAAAACAAATTATTAAGGCCGTTATACAGCTTGCAAGAAAACTTGAATGTCATTTTTTGCATGCAAAAAAATTGCATTCAAGATTTCTTGCACGTCGTTTTATACCTTGCAATTTGACTTGTTTCTTCCTCTAAACTTAACCATACTTTTTTGTTTTTAATGTTATATTGTTGATGTTTGCATTTTCCAAAAATAAAAAAAGTGATTATAAGTCGATATAAAAAGAAGAAAGCAATAGCAGCAATTGTAAGCATCATAATTGCTAAAAATTCCCCAGCTTGCACGAAAACCTTCAAGAAAAATGGCACCAAACCGATTGCATGCAATGCCATTCAAGTTTCAAGAATCTTGCAAAAACCAATCAGCTGACTCACTTCTGCGCATGCCCTCGTTCAAGTTTCTTGCATATTGCAGATAGAATTGCAAGCTGTAAAACGGCCTTTAGGGCAAAGCAAGACAAGAAATGAAATTCATTCTTGTCTTGCCCGACTCTTGCAGAAAAAAATCAATTGCAATTTCTTGTTCTTGCATTATTTGTTTTGTGACGTCATAGCAAGACTATTGCTTGCAAAAGTCTTGTTGCAAGATTCTTGCTGCAAGACTCTTGCATCATTCATTACGTTCAAAAGCGTGTCGGGGACGTGTGTGGTAGAAAAACACGACGGTTTTCTACCACACACTTCGGTTATGGAACGACGTGTTTCATCGTGGCGACGAAAACCGTCGTGTATCATCATAGTCTGTGGGGCCCTTTAAGGGCCCCATACACTACGATGGAACACGATGGTTTTCATCAAGGGGAAGGGTTTGGTAGAAAACCGTCGTGTTTTTCTACCACACCTTCGGTTTTGTAGCGACGTGTTTCATCGCGACCATGGTCGGCGCACTCATATTACCGCTTTGAGCCAGCATTTTTAGTTCACTCGTGACCGCTGATGGCTCTGCTGGTCTTATAAAACTGAGGTTATGAAAGTGAAAATGAAACAAATACCGAATGTTCTGTGTACCGAATCCTTTATCGGAAATGTCATTGTCATTTGGCCTTGCCATATTTCAAAATTTAAATTTAAATTGTCTTTTGATTGTGTTTATTCTTGTGAAAAACTAGGGACACGACAAACCTCTGCAGTCTGCAAACAGTGGCGACGATGAATAGAGGCCCCGCCGCCATATTTTTCATTTCAAATATGAATACATAGGAATTATTGGATATAAATGGATATCTATCATCAAAATTTGGACGTAACGTATTTCTCTGACTAAAATTCAAATACGTTATTTTTAATTTTTTATATTAGACATGGATATATCCGAGAGGCATTCAGCCATTTATATCCTATTATTCATATCAAAAATTTGCAAGAATATGGCAGCGAGACCTCCATTGTCGCCATTGTTTGAAGAGGGTTGTCGAGTTACTGAAAAAATTACAGGAAACTATCAATAACAAAGTGCTATCTCTCGGAGAATGACCGAACTAGTATTTATAGTTCACTCTCAGTCGGCAGAGGGCGCTAAAAGACGACATGATATGTTAACATTGGAGAGTCCAGTCTATTTACCCCCTATCTATATTAGTCTATGATCGCGACGATGAAAACCGTCGTGTTTCATCGTATTGTATGGGACCCTTCAGATTATGATTGGTGTCATTGTCATTGATGACGTGGTTGTCATCTTTCCTGGTTTAATGGCTTTTTTTTTCTTTCGAGGAAACAGTTTCAAAACCCGTTTTAGAACAGCTTCAACTCAAACGTCACTATTTTATGCACTACAATGCTATCAGACCTTTAAAAGAAGTCTACTTGCTTCTTTGATGGTTGAAAACGAAAAGGCCTTCACATTGGGCCTAAAATTCAATATTGTGTGCGTGCAGTGTCGTTGTCCATCATGACCAAAAATTTTCCTAGCCATACTTGCTGCAAGAACTGTTAGAAACTGACATCTGTTTGAGTGTTTTGAACTACAATTTCAAAACATTTTGTCGCAAAAAAATGCCTTAAACTCTACAAGCTGACATGCTGACATTTTTATTTCGTTGTTAACTGCCGCAACGTTGCCAAAATTAATTCAAAAATATGCAGAGAAGGAGACTTCATTTTTTTGCAAGATTTCTTGCAAGATTGCAAGAGTCTTGCAGAATAATTTCTTGTCTTGCGTGGCAACTTCTTGTCTTGTCTTGCTTTGCAAGACAAGAAATTTAAGAGAGTCTTGTCTTGTTCTTGCAGCAAGAACAAGAAATTTGCAAAAATCTTGTGAAACACTACTATGAGATATAGGAAGTGGTTGTTTTTCGAGGAAAGCCATTGGGATCTCAAAACTACAACAAAGTCCAATGTCGTGTCTACCTTTGGGAGATAAATAGTAGTAGTAAGTTATTGAATATGTTTATGCCCACTTGCACCAACCGCAACTTAAATAGGTCTTAGCTAAGTCGGGTCTTAATTTTAAGTTAGCCTTTAATTTAATTCACTTGCACCATAGACAAATTATGCCGACTTGGCAAAGTCGGACTTATTAATTTGGGGCGATGACAACGCTGCGAAATGACAGAAGTTGACAAATAGTCTTTAGTATTTTGTGGTTTTTCCGTGTTTGGGTGTTTCTGATTGAGAGTTTCAGCAATGGAAGAACCAAATTCTAAAAAGCAGAGGGGCACGAATTTCACATTAGCATAAAAGGAGGCTTTAATTAATATATTGGCAAGATTTAAAAATATTATTGAAAATAAAAAAACTGATGCTCTATCCATTCATGAAAAAAATGATTCCTGGGAGTATGTATGCAGGAATTTCAATGCTACTTCACCGGGCATGAGAGAGAGAAGTTTCGATTCTTTAAAAACTATTATAAGAATCAAAAAGAGGATCTACAGAAACAAAATAAGATATATGTGTTACACTTATGTTGTTTGTGGTCAGCGGTGCTACCACTTTATCTACACTTGGCTGCGTCGGCTAACGGTTTATCCTGAAAAGAGGTTATGGGAGGAAAGGAAAGATTTCACCACTAGTAGTTAATACATCTATTGTTACACCTTAATTTATGTAGGAGATGATTAAATAGGGTCTACCAGAAATTGATCGCAGTAAATGTTCTTCCCTGGTGGGCCATCATTTAACATTTCCTTGGAATGCCTATTTTTGGAGAAAACCCTACGCTGTCAATAGTACCCAAACAGCCCTATGAAAATGTACCCTCGAGAAGCTTAGTTTCCATAGGTCTAGGTTTGAAGCGTAGAGTGGGGCTTCTACAGCACGACATTCACCTTAGGATCTCAGTCGTACTGTAGCAAGTCACACCCAACTTGGAGAGAAAGTCTTTTGGCCTGTAGCCTCGAGGAGCTTTAAGGCTGTGGAGACTACCTCTGCCTGACTGCATTGCGGTGAAGAATTATTGCTACCGTCAGCAGAGTCAGTTAATTTTCCGTAGTACAAGCCCAAATTCATTTCATTTTTATAGTATGTGCGCTTGTAGACATTTATGAGTTGACAATATGAAAAATGTATATGTTATTACTGGTTATATTATGTTAAGTCGAATTTAAGGCCTAGATTTTGGTGACTTGAGAAAATTCAATTTAAGGCTACTTTAAGTCTAGCTCGACTGCTGGTGCAACTAAAATTTAGAGTTAAGTCCCGGCTTAAAGCTAAGTCTGACTGAAGTTAGTCTTAAAATGTTGGTGCAAGTGGCCATTTAGTACATGGTGGTAACATCAGGACACCAAGGGTTCCTAAAACACTCCATGACAGATTAAAATGCAAGTTAGAACCAACTCGGAACACAAAGTGTAATTGACAAAATTGATCGTCCTACTGAGTGGCTGAACCCTCTAGTAAATGTAAAGAAAAAAATCATGACTTGCTACTTTGCTTATATTTTGTGACAAAAAATACTTTATTTTTAACCATATATGTAATATTGATATTACAGTCTTTTTAAAAATTTGAAAATGTCACTTTACTGTCTTTTCATTTCCCTGCTCCACTTTCTGTCCTCATTTCCCGTCCTGACTTCCCGTCCCCATTTTATTAAATTTATGTGGCAGGTATTGTCAAGTTTCTTTCAAAATTGATGACAATGACATAAAATTCAAGCAAATAGCATGAAGCTACATTCACATTTCATTTCATTTCTAATTTAAATTGGCAAAAATTATGGTTAAAAATAAAATAGTATACTATGCTAGACAGGAAATTTAATTACTGTCTCGAAATATAGTTTATCTCGACGCTACGCGTCTCGATAAACTATACAATCTCTCGACAGTAATAGCTAATTTCCCGTCTCGGATTGTAATATACTATTACGGTTCTTGACATGAAAGATGGTTATTTACAGGTTGAAAATTGATGACCAGAGCGCGGATTATACAACATTTGGTACGCCTTTTGGGCGTTATAGATTTCTAAGGTTGCCTTTTGGCATATGTTCTGCGCCTGAGGTCTTCCAAAGAAAGAACTTTGAAATATTTGGTGACCTTGGAGGAGTGGGCCTTTACTTTGATGATTTAATTGTAACTGGCAGTAATGAGCTTGACCGTGACAGAAACCTTCAGTTAGTTCTAGAACGTGCTTTAAAATATAACATCGAATTCAATTAGGCAATTCAATCCATCTGTCAAAAAGGAAAATTCAATGTGGCGTGGCGGCCAAGCAAGTTTGTTTTGAATATGTTTTTATGCGTATTTTAAGTTATTTTGCATACAGTTTTGCCTAAAACTTCGATTTTCATTATTTAATCAACTATTTTTTGACTAGGTACCTAAAACTATTTATTCGGGCAGAAACTAGATATTTTTTTGTGTTTTTTGGCCCACGCCATCTTGAATGTCACGTGGTTTGAATTGCCTAATAGGGAATGTCCATGTGACGTCACAAATGAGTTTGACAGTCGCCCTGAGGTAAAACAAATAATTTATTTACATTCGTTTAGATTTTCTCTTCTTTCTTGAGCTAACAAATCAAACCTCCCATTGTTATTTAAAATTGATGGA